GACGTGGAGTGTATGAAGCCTGGAAGTCGAGCAGGCGAAAGAACATGGGCGATTTCGGGACCTCCTGGTAGCCTCTTGGAGTGGGGAGCTTGAAATGTGGGTTGGTTTTCCCCCTCTTCGGCCTCGCTTGGGGTGTTCCTGGGGCTCTCTTGGGCGTTCTCGGTCGGAGAAGGGGGAGGGGCGGGGGGGTCACGATTCGCAGGACGCTTCCAGGGACCCCGCGGGATCTTCTCCTCCCTATCACCCTCCCCCGGGACCTCCCCTCTCTCGTTGGGAAGGGATTACAGGAACGGGGTCCCCTTCGAGTCGATTACGCTGTTGTTCGATTCTCCTCTGGCTGGAGCGTTTGAGGAGGTGGGCCGAGGGAAGAGGGGGGGGGGTTCTGGGAGGCTCATGCAGGTTTCAGGGTGGTGCTGGGAAAAAAACGACGAAGAGCGAGGGGCAAACATTGAAGGAGCAGGATGATGAGGAGGAGGCAGAGGAGGAAGAGGAGGAGGGGAGAGGAAGGCAGAGGAGAGGAGGCAGAGGAGGAAGAGGAGGAGGAGGAGGAGGAGGAGGAGGAGGAGCAGGATGATGAGGAGGAGGCAGAGGAGGAAGAGGAGGAGGATCGAGGATCGGGGTTCGAGTCGATGTCTCATTTTTCATTGTCTTTTCTGGGGGGGGCTCTGGAAGCCTCCGAGGATTTCTGGGGACGTCCTGGAGGCGTCTTGGGCCGTCTTGGGGCCCTCTTGGGCTGTTAGGGGACGCTTTTGGGCGCCTCTTGGGGTGTCTCGGGGCGATATTGGGGGCCTCCTGGGCCGTCTTGGCACGTTGGCAAACGTCAGTCAGAGGCAAGAGCGCTAGAATTCTGCAAAAACGTATGGGACATCTACGATTTTTGCCTCTTGGGGCTCTCGTGGGAAAGCTCCTGGATGCCTCTTGGGGCGTCTTGTAGGCCTCTTGGGCCGTCTGGAAGCCGTGAAGGCGTCTTGGACAGATCGTCAGGCAAGTCGGGGTTCTCGTGGACTGTCTGTGGGGCATATTAGAGCACATTTGGCCCTTTTTGGAACTCTTTTGAGCCCCGGGAATCCCCAGGAGAGCGTCGTATCTGACCCCCCCCGGACCCCCCCCAGGACCCCCCCCCTACACCCCCCCCCGGCGGGGGAGAGATCGAAGGGAAGAGGCTTCCCTTCGACTCCATTACGGCGTTCCTCAACGCCTGGGAAAGGAGGGGAAGAGGACGACAGCCACGACGACAAATGAATGACGGGCTGAGGCGGTCCCTAGGAAAGGGGGGGAAGAGGACGACAGAGACGACGACAAACGAATGACGGAGATGACGGCTCGAACGGACGAAGTCACTCACACACGCCGACAGGGTCAGCGGATTTTCGTCGTGGTGGTTCGTCTCCCTCGGCCCCTCCCCTGAGCCTGAGCTACAGCTCCCCTCCGTCCAGGCTTCCCAACCCTTTATTCTCTTGCACAGTTGTGCCCTAGAGCTCGGACCTCTTTATTTTCGTGGTTCGTGTTTCGTGGTTCGTCGTCGTCCTCGGCTTCCCCTGGCCCTGGCCCCAGCTTCCCCTCGCCCTCCCCTTGGCTCTGGCCCCCCTGGCCCTGGCCTCAGCGCCCCCCCTTCGCTCTGGCCCCCCTCGCGCCCCTCTGGCCCTGGCCCCAGCCCCTCTCGCCCCGTCGTCGTTCTCTAGAGCTCGGACCTCTTTATTCTCTTGCACAGTTGTGCCCTAGAGCTCGGACCTCTTTATTTTCGTGGTTCGTGGTTTGTGGTTCGTCGTCGTCCTCGGCTTCCCCTGGCCCTGGCCCCAGTTCCCCGCGCCCTCCCATTGGGTCTGGCCCCCCTGGCCCTGCCTCAGCGACCCCCCTTCGCTCTGGTCCCCCTCCTCGCGCCCCCCTGTCCTGGCCTCAGCCCCCCTCGCCCGTCGTCGCTCCTGCCTCCCCCCCTTCCCCCCTTTGGCTCTGGCCCCCCTGCCCTCACCACAGCCCCCCTCGCCTGCCCCGTGCTCGGGCCCCTCGCCCCCCTCGCTCCAGTCCCCCTGGCCCTGGCCCAGCTTTCCCCTCGCCCTTTCTATCGGCCCCCCTTCCGCTCCCGCTCTGGCCCGCCTCGCCCCCCCCCTTGGCACTGGCCCCCTTGGCCCTGGCCTCAGCCCCCCTCGCCCTGGCCCCAGCTTCCCCTCGCCCCCGCCCCCTGGCTCTCCGGACCCTTTATTTTCGTGGTTCGCGGTTCGTGGTTCGTCGTCGTCCTAGCCCTCCCCCCGTTGGCTCTGTCTCCCCTGGCCCCAGCTTCCCCTCGCCCCCCTCGGCTCCAGTCCCCCTGGCCCTGGCCCCAGCTTCCCCCCCCCCCCCCCCTCGCCCTCCCCTTTCGCTCTGGCCCCCCTCGCTCCCCTTGGCTCTGGCCTCCTTGGCCTTGGCCTCAGTCCCCTCGCCCTGGCCCCAGGTTTCCCTCGCACCCCCCCCCCTGGCTCCGGCCCCCCTGGCCCTGGCCTCAGCCCCCCTCGCCCCGTGCTCTGGCCCCCTTGGCCGTGGCCTCAGCCTCCCCCTCGCCTCCCCTCCCCCCCCCGGCTCCGGCCACCCTGGCCCTGGCCCCAGCCTCCTCGCTCCTGACCCTTTATTTTCGTGGTTCGTGGTTCGTGGTTCGTCGTCGTCCTCGCTTTTCCCCCCTTGGCTCTGGCCCCCCTGGCCGTGGCCGCAGCTTCCCCTCCCTGCCCCGGGCCCCAGCCCCCCTCGCTCCGGATCCTTTATTCTCTTGCACAGTTGTGCTCTAGAGCTCGGACATATTTATTCTCTTGCACAGCTGTGCTCTAGAGCTCCGACATCTTTATTTTCGTCGTGTCGTGTCGTCGTTCGTCCCCCTCGGCCCCCCCCCCTCCCTGAGACTCAGCTCCCCTGAGCGTGCCCCCCCTCCCTCCCCCTGAGACCTGGCAGCCTCCCTCCGTCCAGGCTTCCCAGGGCAGCTCCCCTGGGATGCCCCCCTCCGTGGCCCCCCCCCCCTGAGACCTAGCTCCCCTGGGCCACGTCCCCCGTGGGCCCCTTGGCAGCCCCCCTCCGTCCAGGCTTCCCCCCTCCGTCCAGGCTTCCCAGGGCAGCCCCTCTGGGGCCCCTCTCCGTGGCCCCCCCCCCCCTGAGACCTAGCTCCCCTGGGCCCCCCCCCCCCCGTGTTCCTGGGCCCTTGGCAGCCCCCCCACGTTCCAGGCTTCCCAGGGCAGCCCCCCCCCCTGGGTCACGGAAACCTTTATTCTGTTGCACAGCTGTGCTCTATAGCTCGGAACTTATTTTCTTGCACAGCTGTGCTTCTAGAGATTCGGACCATCTTTATTTCGTGTCGTGTCGTGTCGTTCGTCCCCCTGCCCCCTCCCTGCCCCCCCCCCCCGTCCAGGCTCCCCAGGGCAGCCCCCCTGGGCCTCGGACACCTTTATTCTCTTGCACAGCTGTGCTCTAGAGCTCGGACATCTTTATTTTCGTGTCGTGTCGTGTCGTGTCGTTCGTCCCCCTGCCCCCCCTCCTCCAGGCTTCCCAGGGCAGCCCCCCCCTGGGCCTCGGACACCTTTATTTTCGTGTCGTGTCGTGTCGTGTCGTTCGTCCCCCTGCCCCCCCCTGCCCCCCCCCAGGCTTCCCAGGGCAGCCCCCCCTGGGCCTCGGACACCCCCCGCCCCCTCCCCATGGTCCACGCTTCCCAGGGTACCCCTCGTCCCCCCCCCCTGTCCACGCTTCCCAGGGTAGCCCCCCTGGGCCACTTCTATTTTCGTGTCGTGTCGTGTCGTGTCGTTCGCCCCCTCCCCTTGCCCCCCCCCCCCCCTCTCTGCCCCCCCACGCCCAAGGCTTTCCCAGGGGCAGGCCCCTTGAGCCTCGGACACCTTGGTGCAAGAGCCAGGGCACGCGTGCCACTTGTTTTCGTGTCGTGTCGTGTCGTGTCGTTCGTCCCCCTGCCCCCCCCCTCTGCCCCCCCCCGCCCAAGCTTCCCAGGGCAGCCCCCCTGAGCCTCGGACACCTTTGTGCAAGAGCCAGGGCACGCGTGCCACTTGTTTTCGTCGTTCGTCCCCCTCGCCCCCCCCCCCCCCCTGAGACCCAAGCTCCCCTGGACCACCCCCCCCGTGGGCCCCTTGGGAGCTCCCCTCCGTCCAGGCTTCCCAAGGCAGCCCCCCTGGGCGACGGAACCCTTTATTCTCGTCGTGTCGTGTCGTCGTTCGTCCCCCTCGGCCCTCCCCCTCCCTGAGACCCAGCTTCCCTGGGCTCGGCCCCCCCGTTCTTGAGGGATGTGCTTCTGTACAGGACACACTGCAGCGGTCCATCAGCAACCCTCACAGCCTGGCGCCCCACAAGGGTGCTGGCGGATTCGATGACAATGCCAGCGATCATGTGAAGGACCAGGATGCGGATGATGATAGTGGTGATGCTGGTGGTGCTGGTGATGGTGATTGTGATGTTAGTCATTGTGGTGTTGGTGATGATGATAGTGGTTGTGGTGATAGTGGTGGTGGGGGTGACACCGACGGTGGTCATGCTTACGCGGATGGAATTGAGTACGAGGATGATTACATCCACTGTTGTACGGGGTGATGAGACGATGAGGAGGGAGTTGAGTGTAAGGGTCACATCGGTGACTTTGTGGCCAGTGCGTTCTTCCGCTGTATCCGTCTGTTTGTTTGTCTCTCTCTCTCTCTCCTTCTCTCTCTCTCTGGCTTTCTCGCCCTCATTCTTCCTGTCTATATGTGTCTCTCTCTCTCTCTCTCTCTCTCTCTTTCTCGCTCAAGAGCTCTCACGGGCCCTCCGACATTTCGCGGCCCTCCCTGGTCCAGATCACCCATATATATAGAGAGAGAGAGAGAGAGAGAGTATGTGGCCCCCCCTCTCGAAGGGGAAAACGGGGCTGCCATGGAAGAGCTCGTGTTCCACATCGCCCGACTGCGCCAGGAGGGCCGGCGGACAACGAAGACGAGCTTCGTCTCGGGGCGTCGACCGATCAGTGATCGCATATTCCCCCCCCGCTCAGAGCCCCGCGCTCGCCCCTCCAGGAGAGGAGGGCCTGGCGCGCGTCGTTCGTGCGGTCCATGCACGCGGTGCTGTCCGACTACACGCAGGCGGCCCCGCGCCGCCCGGGTGCAGGTCGGGCCGGCTGGTTGCCGGCGGGTCGTGGGCCCCACGGGATGCTGTTGGCAGAACGTTTGCTTGTCCGAGGAGGAAGGGGTGATCACCGATACCGCTACCCTCGCCTCGGTTTCGCCTTTCTGGACCTCCTGGAAGGCCCTCGTTGCCACCGCTGAAGTCGCCTCGAAATTCTGGTCAGAACGCAACCCTGGTGAGGTCCAGGGAGTAGCGATATCGGTACCTCTTGGTTTCCCCAGATTCGGGCATGCTTGTGGGCTCTTGTGTCAATTCCGTGAACACTTTGATGCTCATTCTCATCGTGCGCCGATCTCGTTTTGCATCCTTGCGCCGCCTGCCTGCAGCGCCCCCGCTGTCGCGCACCTGCAGGTTCGAGTCCGAATCCGAGTCCGAGTCCGAGTTATGGGTCCCCTGGGCCCGGCGTGTCGGTGGGAGGCCCCACTTGGGAGCCTTGAGACGGGGGTCAGTGCAGACGGGGGTCGGCCAGAGCGCCCGATCTTGCAGGATCCTTCGGGGCCAGAGTCGCACTGACCCGGGTTTGGGTTCAGGATCCCGCAGGACCCTTCGCATTGGCCCTGGCTTGGGAGGCGGAGAAGGAGGAGGAGGAGGAGGAGGAGGAGGAGGAGGAGGAGGAGGAGGAGGGGGAGGGGGATGGGGAGGGGGAGGAGGAGGAGGAGGAGGAGGGAGGAGGAGGAGAGGAGGAGGAGGAGGAGGAGGAGGAGGAGAGGAGGGGAGGAGGAGGAGGCGGAGGCGGAGGCGGAGGCGGAGGCGGAGGCGGAGGAGGGGAGGAGGAGGAGGAGGAGGAGGAGGAGGAGAGGAGGAGGAGGAGGAGGGGGAGGGGGAGGAGGAGGAGGAGGAGGAGGAGGAGGAGGAGGAGGAGGGGGAGGAATAATAATATTAAGAAGAAGACGACGAATAATACTACTACTACTACTACTAATAATAAACATACTATTACGAATAATCATACTAATAATACTAATAAGATGACTAAGCATAATGATAGCACGCAGAATAAGACTACTAATACTTATTACGACGAATACGAATACTATTACTAATACTAATAATAAGAAGAAACACAATCATAGTAATAATGATAATACGAATAAGAAACATATTAGTAAGACGAAGACGAAGAAGACGAATACGAAGAGGAATACGAATACGAATAATACTACGAATGCTACTAATAATAATCAGAGTAACACGAATCATAATCATAGTAATCCGAAGAAGAAGAAACATAATACGACTAGTAATAACAAAGAATAACCGTACTAATACGAATAATAAGACTCATACTAATAAGAAGAAGACGAAAACGAAGACTAATCAGAAGACGAATATGAGTAATACTAATTTGAGTAATACTAACAAGAAGACGAAAAATCATACGTATATTATTAATACTAATAATACTATTATGAAGACTAGTACTAAGAATGAGAAGAATAAAACTACTAATAATAATAATGCTAAGACTAATAATAACATGACTGATAATACTAATTGTAATACTAAGAAGAATACTACGAATCGTATTACGGTTAATACTAATAATAAGAGTAATACGAATAATAAGAAGACGAACGATATCAATATTAGTAATAATAAGAATAATACGAATACTAATAATAATAATAATTATAACGATAAGATGATTAATACAAGTAACAATACTAATACAACGACTATGAAGAATACTAAGAATAGTCATAATACTAATAAGAATACGTGGAAGACGAAGAAGAAGAGGAGCGGAGGAGGAGGAGGATGAGGAGGAGGACCCTGCATGATTCTGCACGGCCGGGCCTGACCGACCCCGGGCCTGGACTGGGCCCGGGCAGCAGGTCCCCGGCCCCCCACCGACGTGGCCCTCTCGGGCCGCGCAGGCCTGGGCCGGCCGCCCCTCCATCAGTCAGGAGGCCCCCCCTCCATCAGTCAGGAGGCCGATGTCTGAGTGGAGGCCAGCGCGGCTGCCGACTTCCGCCGATTCGTCTTTTCCCGTCTCGGCTGCGGATTTCCGCCGATGCGATTCAGTTCGATCGCTGATCCGACTTGTCGATTCGATTCTGGGCTCTCCTGGGCCTTTCCTGGGGCCATCTCTTCATCCTTGACTGTTTTGTAGTGTTGGCCCCGTGGCCAGTGGAGGGCCCCCGGGGCCGTCAGAGACAGCTCGTCCTGCTCGTCCTCCTCGTCGGCGCCCTCGCCTCCTCGCCTCCTCTTTTTGTGCCTACTGATCCAGGAAGGGGAATGCGCTTTTCTCACTTCTTGCCCGAGCCTTCCCGGCCACAGCGTCAGAGTGGCCAAGGACAGTAACTCGATGTGGGGCGGTGGGGAGGGGCAGACGCGCCCATTCGATTCGATTCGACTTGTCGATTCGATTCCGGGCTCTCCTGGGCCTTTCCTGGGGCCATCTCTTCATCTTTGACTGTTTTGTAGTGTTGGCCCCGTGGCCAGTGGAGGGCCCCCAAGGCCGTCAGAGACAGCTCGTCCTGCTCGTCCTCCTCGTCGGCGTCCTCGCCTCCTCGCCTCCTCTTTTTTTGCCTACTGATCCAGGAAGGGGAGTGCTCTCTTCTCATCTCTTAACCTGAGCCTTCCCGGCCACAGCGTCAGAGTGGCCAAGGACAGTAACTCGATGTGGGGCGGCGGGGAGGGGCAGACGCGCCCATTCCGCCGCTCTCTGATCGGCGCACGGCGGCTCGACTCAGAGGAGCAAGGAGCCAAGATAATGAGACGCTCCAGTCTCCCCTGCTGCTCCGCGCCTGCTCCGGGAGCGAGGGGCGCTGGGCAACCCAGCATTCCTGGAACGCACCCTGAGCCACCCCTTCATCAGTCAGGAGGGAACAAAAAACACACAGACACAACGAATCGTCGATCCCCAGGAAAATATAGGGGAAATGTGGGCAGGGGGGGGGAAGGCGAAAACCCCCCAAATCTGGAACAAATATATGGAATCCTGTTATTTGTGTGTATTTATTTGTGTGTCCCAGGGCCCCTTGAGTCATGACATCCCTCTCGTCCTGCTGGCGCCATCCTGCGCCGCCGTGACCCGACCCGCCTGCGCCCCCCAGGGCACCGGCCCGTTGCCGCCTGGCAGCGCCGAGCGGTTGGCGGCATGCCTGTTCACCCTGGGCGAGCTGGCGCGGCTGGACCCCTCGCTGGCGCCCTCGCCGCCGACCGCCGTCGTCGCCGGCGGCGCGGAGTCCAGAGGGGTGTGCGAGCGCGCTCGAGGAGAAGTCGAAGAAGAAAAAACCGCATAGACATAAACTTGTGGCGCTCCGCGCGGATTTATTGGATCCGCGCAGGGCCCCTCTGGCGGCGCCTCTGGGGCCGCCCCTGGCGCGCTCCGCGCGCCAGGGAGGGGGGTCCGGCGCGGATCCGAGAAATCCGCGCGGAGCGCCAACAGTTTATATTTATGTGGTTGTCTCGTCTAGAGAAGGGGGTCGGACGAACGGGTCAGGGGCAACGATTTGGTGGGACAGGCTCAGGGGGGATGCATTGGCCCCCAAACGCCCACTCATCGCCGATAGGGGCCCGATAGCCCGCCCCGCTCAGGAAGGTGCGGCTTCGCTACAACATAACGTCTTCCCAACATCTACGAAACATCTCTGGGGGGCGAAAGCGGATGCAAACATCCCAGACACATGTCCGACACCTCTCCGACGCACCTCCGCGGAATCGAAATCGATGCGGTCTCGTCGACCGAGGGAGCGGTCGCGCGAACTCGTTTTGGCTTGCGGAGCAAGCCTCGCTAGAAATGCTGTAAACTACAATGCAAAACCAAGGTGTCACGCGAACCTGATTCCGCTCGCGGGCCGAACCTCGCCCAACAATATTCACAAACGACGCATCTGGCACATCTGCGAACCATCTCCCAGGGGGCGAACACATTCACATAACACTCGCGACACATCTAAGAGACATTTTCGGGGGGCGAACACCCTTACATAACAGAAGCGAAACATCTCCAGGGGGCGAAACCTGTGCATAACACCTACGAACATTTCGTGGGTGGGGGGGGGGGGGCAAACGCATTTTCTAACATCTACGAAACGTTTACAAAGCATCTCCAGGGTACGAAAACATGTGCAGGCCAGATGCGAAACATTTACGAAACTGTGCGACCCATTTCCTGTGGTAAGTCACGTTGCATGGGCTCGTCGCCGTGGCTGGATTCGTAGACGTGGCCAGTGGTCGACGTCGGCGGTCCGTTTTCGACAGCGCCGAGGTGGTGGTTGTTTCTTTTTGGGCATGTTGGCGTCGCGGGCATCGCAGGTTTGTTTGATGTGTTTGGCGATTTTCCTCGATGGGAACCAAACGCAACGTTTAAAGCACAACGAATTTCAAACTTGGCGTCATTCTGGTCAAAGTGCCCTGAAGTGCGGTTGGGCGTCGGGCAGGGCCCAAGTGGGCGGTTTTGGAGGTAGTCGTTCTATTGTAATGGCCTCCGGCCAGTGCCGCCGATCCGGGGGGCTCCGGATTCGGTGATCTTGGCGGCTCTGTGGCCTCCTCCCTCCTCGATTCTTCCGGTCCTCTTTCTTCTCCTCTGAGCGGTCCCGGGGGGGGGTCCAGGGAGGGTTCCCAGGGGAGGGTCCTGGGGGCCGTGGCGGCTAGATCTGAGGGGGGTCCCTGGCACCCCCCGAAACATTTTGGGGATGCGCAAGAGCCCGTTTCTTTATTGCTTGGGGCATGACGGGCATCATGGCCCCCGCCCCCCCCCCCTTTGACGTAACGCTCCCCCCCAGTGCGCTCCGGGAACTGCCGCCGTGCGCATTGGGATCCGCGTAGGTGTCCGCGTAGGAATCCGCGTAGGTATCTGGTCCGCAGGCGTCGTCGTGGTCGTCGTCGTGGTCGTCGTCGTCGTCGTCGTCGTCGTCGTCGTCGTCGTCATCGTCGTCCGTCGTCGTCGCTCGTGGTTCGTCGCTCGTCGCTCATCGTCGTCGTGCGCGCGGACGCGGCTGGAGCCTGTTTTTAAATCCGGGCCGATGACGGCAATCATCTGGGGGGGAGGGGGTCGATGACGTCACGTTTCGCGCCGGCGGCGTCTGGGAATGCTTAGGAATGACGGAGGACGGGTAGCACGAACATGTCGGTGGCGATATGCACCACAACGCCTGTGTACATCACAGTGCCCGCGTGCACCACAGCGCCTGTGTACACCACACCGCCGATGTACACCACAGCAACCGCGTGCAACACAGCGTCAGCTTGTGCCACCGTGCCTGCGGGCACAGCAGCTCCTGTGTACACCACAGCGCCTCCGTACACCACATCAGCCGTGCGCAACACAGCACCAGCGTACACCACAATGCCTGCGTGCATTGCAGTGCTTGTGTACGCCACGGCGCGTGTGTGCACCACATCAGCCGTGTGCAACACAGCACCATTGTTGTGTATAGAATTTCGGAAGGAATCCTTGTGACCGAATGGAGCGCGTGTGGATTCCAGAGACAACAATGGAAACCAAATCCTCATGGACGAAGGAGCGCCGCTGGAATCTACGAGTCCCGCCGAGTCCGCCCGCATCACCCTAACCCCCATTTGCGTCCAGGAGGCTCCAGCTAAACTGACCGTCCGAGAACCAAGTAGACCGATTCATTCGACCATTCTGCGGTGCACGCTGAGATGCGCACGTGCGTTGTAACGCCAAACCGCACGACAGGGGGTAAGAAGGCGGAAAAGAGGGAGGAGGAGGAGGAGGAGGAGGAGGAGGAGGAGGAGGAGGAGGAGGAGGAGGAGGAGGAGGAGGAGGAGGAGGAGGAGGAGGAGGAGGAGGAGGAGGAGAGGAGGAGGAGGAGGAGGAGGAGGAGGAGGAGGAGGAGGAGGAGGAGGAGGAGGAGGAGGAGGAGGAGGAGGAGGAGGAGGAGGAGGAGGAGGAGGAGAGGAGGAGGAGGAGGAGGAGGAGGAGGAGGAGGAGGAGGAGGAGGAGCAGGAGCAGGAGGAGGAGGAGGAGGAGGAGGAGGAGGAGGAGAGGAGGAGAAGGTGAAGGAGGAGGAGGAGGAGGAGGTGGAGGTGGAGGAGGAAGGAGGAGGGAGAAACGTCTCATTCGATTCTCAGGACTTTCCTGGCGTGGCGTTTAGTTGTCCGCAGCAGATCCTGACGTACATGCTCCTTCTACCTGTCCTATGCACGCAGGCACTGTGGTGTACTCCACGGCTGTTGCAGTGTACGCAGGCGCTGTGGTGCACACGCGCGGTGTGGTGCACGCGAGCGTTGTGGTGCACACAGGCGCAATGGGCAGATCGCCACTTACATGCTGCCCGCGTCGTCGTCGTCGTCGCTCGTCGCTCGTCGCTCGTCGCGTCGTGCGCGCGGGCGCGGCTGTGGTGCCGGAGCCGCACGGCGGGGGGGGCGTCACGTCATACCCCCCCCGCCCTCCCCCATCCCCCCCCCCCAGGACGCCCGTCATCGCCGAACAGAGAAACGCGCTCCAAATCATAATGAAAACGCCAGATGGGGGACCGTCCCCCCCCCTCTCTCTCTCCCCTTCCCCGGGGGGGTCCAGATGCGCAAATCATGAAGAAAACGCCAGATTGAGGACCCCCCCCCCGCCGCTCCCCCCCTTCCCCGACAGAGCCACCCCGGCGACCCCCCCAAGCAGAGCTGAAACTTTTGCTTAGGCTCAGAGCTGGAGCTCTTGCTGAGGCTCCTTGTAGTTCACACGCCGGGTCGGCTGTTTTTTTTTGGACAGGCCTCCCCAGGTCACAAGTCGCGCCCTCCTGAGGCTCGAGACATCCTCCAAACATCGGGCCACTAGGGGACTCCGAATCGACGTCGTATTCGAATCGCTCTTGGAGGGCTTTCCAACGACTCAAGGGAGGCCCAACAGACACCCCGAAGAGCCCCAGGAGCGCCCAAGAGCGCCCAGGAGCGCCCAAGAGCGCCCCAAGAAGACCCCAAGAGACCCCCAAGAGCGCTTCCGTAGCCATTTTGGCTCAAACAAATCTCGGATCTCAACGTTTCGTGCATCACATTTCTTATCAGCGATGGCGTGCGGTGCGTTGCTCGTCGGCCTGCTCGCGGTCCCAGCGTCCGGTTTGGTGGCTGAGCGAGTGCCGGAGTCTTGCCTGAAGCGTGCTTCGTGCAAGGGCACCTTCCACTACCGCCCCCCCCCGTCAAAGCCACAGGCGCCTGGCAGTGGAGAGGTCAGGCTGACGGACCTCGTTCCCAAGACAGCGGAGCTGTCGAGCCAGGCGTCGATCGAGCAGTGCATTTCCTAGTGGAAGACGATCGACATGAAGATCGGCAACAAACAGAACGTCAAGTCCACGAACGAAGAGGATCTGAAGATCTTCGATCGTTTCTTCAGCGGGGCGTCCGGTGGGACCACGCGAACGCAGGGATTCTTCCTGGAGATGGGCGCGTTCAACGGCTCGCGGAATCCAATTCACTTTTCTTCGAGCGTTGCCTGGGATGGACGGGCTTGCTCGTGGAAGGCAACCCCAAACTGTACAGGGTCATGGTTGAGAACAATACGAGGCCGTCGGCGCACAAGCTCAACGTCGCCCCATCTTGTGCGTCCGACGACGAGGAGGTGCAATTCGTCTTGGGGCAGACGGAGTCGGGGCTGGTTGACATGGTCGGCTCGAGCCATGCTAAAGAGATCGCCAACGTGCACTGCGGGCCGCTTTCCCTGTACCTGCGCGATCTCGGCATCGCCCAAGTCGACTTCTTCTCCCTGGACGTGGAGGGTGCAGAGCTCCTGGTGCTTAAGACGGTCGATTTCAGTAAGGTCAGAATCCCCGTGGTGGAGTCGTGGAACAGGGACTGCAGGGAGGACTGTCCCAAGCGCGAAGCCGTTCGCGAGCTTATGCTCTCCAACGGGTACACGCTGGATACCGGATTGGTGCCCAAGAGCGACGTGTTCTATTTGGTGGACGGAGTCTGAGTCGTTGCCGGGACGTGTTCCGTGCTGCCAATGCATGCACCCAGCCAGCGTGGCCCAGTACGATGAAGGTCGGACCCATCCCAGACACCCCACGTCCTCACATCCCTCTTTGGCGCTGACAGCTGGGCCGCAAGACGCGACGCAGACAGGGTGTACACGGAAAAACAATACACAAAAAACGAATTAAAAAAGACCCCCAAGAGCGCTATAGGAACCACCCAGACAGCTCACAAGAACCCCAAGACGGCCCCAGAAGGGCCAAAAAGGCCCCAATAGACTCCTGGGAGCGCCCCAGGAGGCCCCCAAACGGCCCAAGAAAGCCGCAAGACGGCCCAAGATGGCGCCGATGCGGCCTAAGAAAGCTCCCGCAGAACCCCACGACGCGCCCAGAGCCCAAGAAGACCCCAGAAGCCCATAAGAGGACCCAAGGGGCCCCCAAGAAGCCCCCAACGGGCCCCAAGACAACCCCGCGCGGCGCCAGGAGCAACGTCCTTTTCCAATTGCTTCTAACTGTCCTCTGTCGTCGTCGTCGTCGTCGTCGTCGTCATCATCGCCCTCCGCATTCCTTCTCGTGCTCGCCCTCGTTCTCTTCGTCCTCGTCCTTGTGCTTCTCTTCCTCCTCGTTGTCCTCATGCTCCTCCTCGCTATCCTCACGTTCGCCACGTCGTCCTCGTCATCGACTCCTCGTTGCCCTCGCCTTCTTTTTCTTCTTCGCCCAATACGCCCATGAGACTCAAGCGGCGCTTCCCGTTCTTGTCCGATCAGGTTTTTTTGTTGGACAGGCCTCCCCAGGTCACAAGTCGCGCCTTCCCAATCCCACGATGGAGATTCTTTCACATTGAACGGCCCACGCGGTCAAATGAAGCAGGTTTCCGCCGCAACTGGAGCCTGCAGTCGACACCCACGGTGGGGATGCAAGCCGCCCATGTTGAGACGTTTTGCAGCGGCGTCAGCCCCATAGGGTCTGAGATTGAGGGGTCGATGAGGCAATGCTGCGGGGCTGGCCCCGTGCACTCCGTCCGTACTCCGGACTGCAGCAGCGGAACCCCGATCGCGATCTGCTGTCGCCTGCGGCCAGCGCGGGTTGCCAAAGGTGGCCCTTGTCCCCCGCTTTTCGCTTCATCTTGGACCCCTCGGGCTTGCCGGGCCTCGGGAGGGGTTAAAACGGGTGGCCGTGGGGGCGTCCCTGAAACTCCTGGGGGCACTTTGGGCCAATGGGGCACTTCTAGCAATACCCGACTTGGGGCGAAACGGGCCCCTGGGCCCCTGGGGGCGCTTCCCAGGGCCAGCTCTCCATCGTCAGTCGATCCTGTTGACGGCCCTCCTCCTCCTCCTCCTCCTCCTCCTCCTCCTCCTCCTAGTCTTCCCCCTTCCAGGGTTGTTCCTGGGGGGGGGGGCCCAGGGGTCCGCCAACGGCGAGACTTCTTCAGGGCCTCTTCCTTCCAGGACCCGTCGCTTGTTATGCTTAAAGTGTTGTGGCGCGTTGTGGTTGCCGCGTCTTTCCATTCGGTAGCAGATTATGGGTAGGAGACCGCATGTGAACCCTGCCCCACCACCCCCCACCCCACGTTTTCTCAGGTGGTAGGTGGGGTTCACTTCGTTCGGGACCTCCCGAGCGAAGTGAACCCCACTTCCCCCCTGAGAAATCTTGGGGTGGTGGGGTAGGGTTCGCATGCGGCCTCCCAATGGGAGCATTGTGTATCCTCGTAGTTCCGTTGTTTGAATGCATTCGCGTGCGTTGGCGTCTAGTAGTTGGCGTCTAGTAGTTGGTAAGAAAGCACCGACGTAGTGTCAACTGTGCGTCGAGTGCCGTCGATCTTGCGTCGACTCGCGTCGGTTAGCGTCGGTTCGCGTCGACTAGCGTCGGTTAGTTTCGATTCGCAAGAGCCGGCAAGATGACGTGGGGAGCCCCCGCGAGTTGCCACATAATATCGACGCATCTCAGGTGGGCTCGGAGTAAATGGGGTCGGGGCATCCCGCCGCATTGCCGATGCATCGTCGACGGAGCGCGAGGTGGATCCTGTTTGTGTCCGCGCCGACGGCGCCGATGCAACGCCGACGTCTCCGATGCACCGCAGATGTACCGACGATGCGTCGGCAATGCGGCGCGACCCCCCGACCCCATCTATTCGGACTCCCGTTGGTCGACGGAAGAACACGGGGGTCGACTGCGCCGACACTCGTGTGTCAGCTTCCCGCGTAAGGTCGCGCGCAAGCGGCCCCTTCCCCACGCGGTGAGCCACGCTGGCGGCCCGCGTAAGCTGCGGCGCGGAGCCGCTATGCCATCTCGCGTCGCACCCTCTTCGGATCGTCCCTCTTGTGGGAGGCTTTGGCCTCGAGGAGCGGAGGGTCAATCCTGCTCGCGAGCACTCCGGTTCGGGCGGCGAGATCTTTGCAGATCCACTGCTCCCTGGCCAGGCCCATCCTTAACCCAGGAGCTGTGGATACGCCATCCTGGCTTGACCAGGAGGGCGTGGCGTATACATCGCTGCTGGATTCAGGATGGGTCTGACCAGGGAAGTGGACATGTCTAGATTTCGCCGCCCTACCATTTGAGGTATCTCAGTGGCTTCACGCTGGTCATCGTCATCGGCATGCTGGGTCCGCTCCCCCCCCCTTCCAGAACAGCGCGGCAACAACAAAAACGAGACAACGGCCGGGACAAGCTGAGGTGTCCGACGGCACCGTGGCGCACACCCACGCCATCGCGACCAACACGGCGCGGACGCTCCGCGCGCGCGCGGCGCGGCCGGCTTCGTCGGGACGACGTGTACTAAGCATCCTCGGGAGTGGGGCGCCCCCACGGGTGAGGGCAGGTGGGGGCGGGAGGGCTTGATTGTCGACCAGCAGCACACTGGGGGCCCGTGCCAAGAAACACCTTGCTGGCCTCCAGGGTGCCCTGGGTTCCCTGGGCTTCGATGGCTTTGCGAGGGAGAGCGGGACGTTCCCACACCAGGCATCGATGGACCTCCTGGGGTCGCAGGGTTTGGCTTCTTGTGGAAGTCTCTTGTGGTCGAGCCCCCACTGGATTCCGCCAGCCCAGCACCTCTTTCAGCTGCCGCCCACCTTCCTCGCATCCTGGCCGGCCCACTCCAGCCAGCAGCACCAGTGGGCAGCGCAGCGCGACCTTCGCACCAGGTTTCTTGTGGAAACTTTGTCCGTACTCATTTCGGGCGTCCAAACTTGGGTTTCGATGGTTTTGGGATGGAGAACGTGACGTTCCCACACCAAGCATCGATGGACGTCCTGGGGTCTCAGGCCTCTTGTGGTTGAGCCCCTGCTGCAAGAAGCCGAGCGTGCCTCGCGCTGCCTTCCCAAAGCGAGCGACGGCAGGCGGCCGCGCGCCTCGTGCGAGGGAGGCCCCGCCTCTGCCCCCCCCGCTCCCGCGGCTGCCGCTGCCGCCCTCCACCGCGCTGCACTGCTGGCGGAGCACATGGGGGGCCGTGGGCGGCCAAGGGGAGGAATCATGGCCGAGGCCATGATTCCTCCACGGATGATGATGATGATGATGATGATGATGATGATGATGATGATGATGATGATGATGATGATGATGATGATGAGGAGGAGGAGGAGGAGGAGGAGGAGGAGGAGGAGGAGGAGGAGGAGGAGGAGGAGGAGGAGGAGGAGGAGGAGGAGGAGGAGAGGAGAGAGAGGAGGAGCGAGGAGGAGGAGGAGGAGGAGGATGAGGAGTAGCAGGGGCAGGAGCGTGCTCGTCGTGGATGACTGATGGGGGGGAGGAATCATGGCCGAGGCCACGGCTCTCCGCCCTCGTAGCATGGCCTCTCTTCTGGATTCGATGCCTCCCCTGGCCCTCCCCTCGGGCCGCGCGCGTGCCGCGGGCCACGATGAGCGCTCCCCCCCTTCTGGGACACTCCCTCTTGGGCGCCCCTGCGAGAGGGGCAGGAGGAACTGGCAGGAGGAGGAGGAAGAGGAGGAGGAGGAGGAGGAGGGGGAGGAGGAGGAGGAGGAGGCGGAGGAGGAGGAGGCGGAGGAGGAGGAGGAGGAGGAGGCGGAGGCACCACCAAATCGAATCCGAGCGCGCCGAGACTAGACTAGGAAGGGCGAGACGAGTGGAAAAGGCGAGCACGCGCGACTCGACGGAGGAGGAGGCGGCAGGAAGAGGGAATGGGAAGGGGGCGGGAGGGAGGAGGAGGCGGTATGGAATGGCATATGTTGTCTATGGGGCCCGGGGCGGGACCTTCCACAGCCCTGATCTGCACCTGGCGGCGATCCCCCACAGCGATCTGGACCTGAGCCTGGGTGATGATCACCCACAGCCTCAAAGAGCAGATTGCACATGCTGCCTCTGGAGCCTGGGACGGGACCTCGTCCAGGTAGAGCGGTCCTCCGACGGGGTCCGACCGCAGTCGAGCAGCGTCGCTGCCGCTCCTCGCCGCCCTCCGGGTCCTGAGCAGGCTGGTGGGTGGTGGTGGTGATGGTGATGATGATGTTGATAATGATGATGATGATTTTGATGATGATGATGATGATGCTGATGATGCTGATGCTGATGATGATGCTGATGATGATGATGATGGTGGTGGTGGTGGTGATGCTGCTGCTGCTGATGCTGCTGCTGATGATGATGTTGATGATGACGATGGTGGTGATGATGCTGATGATGATGATGCTGATGATGCTGCTGCTGATGACGATGACGATGATGAGGATGCTGCTGCTGATGATGATGATAATGATGATGCTGATGATGATGATGCTGCTGATACTGATGATGATGATGACGACGACGCTGATGATGATGATGATGATTATCATGATGACGATGCTGATGCTGCTGCTGATGATGATGATGATGATGAATCTGATGATGATGATGATGCTGCTGCTGCTGCTGCTGATGATGATGATGATGATGATGATGATGATGATGATGATGACGATGGACTGAGTGGGACGATGTGCTGATTGCTCGCGCCGGACGCATGCTGAGAGCGGGGAAGCGGAACGGGCGGAAGGGCCCAGTGCGGGAGTGTCTGCTGCGCAGTGTTGAGGGCAGAAACCGGCTGCCACCGCGCGCCCGGCAGAGGGAGGGCGAGCTCCACGGCCCAAAGGGACCGCGGCGGAGGGCGGAGAGGACCAGGAGTGCCTCCGCCTCCGCATCAGTTTCCCACGGCGGCGAGGCTGAGGACGGCGAAGACTGCGGCGACGACGACGGCTCGGCGGCGAGAGGGGGAAGGAGGGAAATGGGAAAGGAAGGCCTTCTGAGAGGGCGGCGGGACTTCTCAGAAGAAGCCCGCGCGCCTTCTGATTTTTGTTTGTAAATGTCTTCGGTGAAGGCTTAGGGAACTTCTCAGAAGGCCAGGGGACTTCTGAGCCTTTGGAGAAGGCCCGCCCCTTCTCACTTCCGCTCGGGCTCGCCGCCGAATGGCGGAGGCCCGGCGGCTGCGACGACGAGGGCGTCCCCAGGTGCGGCGGTGCGGGGCGCTCGTGCAGACGCCCTCCTCGCTGAGGGGCCACGCTTTCGCAACCCTGGGGAAGCTCCTCGCCGCCTCGCCCCCGCGCGCCGAAGCGCGGGATTGGGGGGGGGGCAGGAGGAGGTGCCTCGATCGGGCCGCCAACGCTGCTCGTCGAGATTCGGCCTCTGCTGGGCCGACCCAAATCTAGGGGTAGAAGCTTACGCATGCATGAAACTCGAGCTATAGCTAGATCTAGACTCAGAGTTGATCTGATCCGAGTGACGTGGTGCGAACATAGGGCGCTTCCAGGGTCCCCCCTGTCCTCCCCTGCTGTGAAGCGCGCATGAATTTGGTAAGCAGGAATGCAATCGCACGCGCAAGCATGAAGGAAACAAGCACACAAGCGCTCGAGCAAGCACGCAGGCAAACAATGACTATCTCAAGCAGGTGCGCCCGACCCCCACTTTCACCCTCCAATATGTCTACCCGGCAGAACGTCGGCGCTGTTGCCGCCACTTGCTACTAGATGTGGTCATCCACTGTGCAATGATCGGTACGCCCCGTTCTTTTGCCGAGTGTGAGGGTCAATCCCTTCTCCTTCGTATATGCATACCCACCCGCCGGTCGTTGAACGTAGGTATTTTTGGATTCCCAGATCCCAATCTATTTGAAGCGCCTTCCTACTTCAAGAATACACATGGTTTTGCCGTGCTTTGTTGTTCTCTGGGAGGGCCTGGACCCAATCCACTTTACCCGCCTTTCTACCTTATGTGTTTACTTACTTCATCCGACCGACGTGCACACATACATATTTGTCGCCGAGTCTTGCCGCGGCCAGAACACATCTCGTTGTCAGTTGTTCGGTCTACTCGCACGATGGCTGTATCCCCAGCTGGCTTCTTGGGCCCTGTCAGCGTCCAGGGCACGCAAGGCACGCGAACGGCAGTCTAGGTCGAAGAGCTGATTTTCTTAAGCTTGGGCATTCTGATTCAAGACAGATGTCGAATAATAATGATATTCTTCAGAAGAATCAGCAAAAAGCATAAGCACACACATACACTTTCGAAGGTCCGCTTGGATGTCTTGGATGGGCGCTGAGCCCTCCTAGCGTCGCCTCCAGGGCGCTGCCCCAGGCGCGCTCCGTGCGCCCAGGAGTGGCGTCCAGCGCCGATCCGAGAAACCCTCGCGGATCTCGAGCAGTCAATTTTTTTGGACATCATTATTTGTTTCTCTACGCAGTGGTCTCTCGCTTCTACCGTCGCTATCCACATTCATGCTCTGCCTAACAATTGTCTTCCCTTCGGCCTCCAGGATCCAGGTTCTCAGAGGGCAGCTCGTATTTCGGCGAGTGGCCTCATGCCTTCCGCGCTCCTCTGCCTCTGGAGGTTCTGCCTGGTGAAGGAGAGTCTCGCGAAGAAGACCGTGGAGACGCTGGCCCTGTGGGCGCGTCGAACGCGGCCCTAGCTTTATGATGCTCCAGCCTACTTTAGCCTTGACCACCAGGAAGAATTTCGAGCGGCCAAGCAAGTACCGAAACTCAAGGGTTTTCACGTGTCGGGCCCTGGGAGACACTCGCCCGACACTGTTTCGACACTGTTTTGACACTCTTTTGACACTTTTCTGGGTGCTCGAAATCATTTTTGGGATGTGGTCCTTAAGCAGGATGGGAACAACATAACCCTAGCTCCTCCTCCTGCTGCTCCTCCTTCTCCTCCTCCCTCTCCTCTTCCTCCTCCTCCTCCTCCTCCTCCTCCTCCTCCTCCTCCTCCTCCTCTCTTCCTCCTCCTCGTCCTGATCCGAAGGGTACCGTGGATCTTACGGGACCTGGGGCGGGTTGGGGCACGGTTGGGCACTGCAGGGCGCACCTCGGTGCTTCGAGGGACCACCTCGAGGTCAGCCCCGATCATACTTTGAACTTCCGGGGGCTGTCTGGGGGCGAGGTCAGCCCCGATCATACTTTGAACTTCCGGGGGCTGTCTGGGGGCCAGCTTGGGTCCTCCTCCGCCTCCCTCTACTCCTCCTCCTCCTCCTCTTCCTCCTCCTCCCTCCTCCCTCCTCCCTCCTTCTCCCTCTTCCTCCTTCTCCTCCTCCTGCTCCTCCTCCTCCTGCTCCTCTTCCTCCTCCTCCACCTCCTTCCTTCCTCCTCGTCCTCCTCCTCCTCCACAGGAGACATGGGAAGCGCGTTGAAATACGATACGTTATTCCATCCTTTGAACTCTCTCGACGTCCTGTAGGGTTGTCTTCTCTCGTGGCCCGCCTGGGTCGCCTGAGGCCCTCCTGGTTCGTCTTGGGTTCTCGAGTCCTTCTTGAGGGCAGTCCGCAGGCGTGACTGTGCACGCCGTGGGCAGTCTAGTAGGAGGCAGGGAGGGAACAGGACCGGAGGCAGAAGACATGGCAAGAGACAAAGCAAGCTACAGTTAACACGCTGAAGTGGAAACCACTTTGGTCTCGGGAGGGGCTCAGGTTTTCGGGACGTTCCTTCGTGGCCGAAGATCGCCGTGGCCGAGGCTTGCCGTGGCCACACAAGCCCCTTCGTTACTTTTTCAGCGTTCCTGTCGTAGCACGGTGGCTGTACACCACCAACACAGCAATCGGGCCACCACTTCGCAGCCTGGTGCTCCTCAGGAGATGCCGAAGATATGATGATCTCGGGATACTTCTCAAGTCGACCAGGGCCCGACGTGCGCTGAGCCTGTTTGGAGGATGCTTGTGTGATTCACCAGGCGTGTCCTCATTCTCGAGATCCTGCGCTCAGCTTCCCCAGGTACCCCGCCAGCTGCCAGCTCCATTCAGATCTCTGGCCTCTAAACGGTGTGGTGACCGCACCGCGTGGTGAGCCAATGAATGGGGAGTCGGGGACGCCCGAGTCCCAAGACCGTGCGAAGACGGACCGCGCGGTGAGGTCGTTGTCCGTGACCGTTCTGTCTTGGGGCCCCCGGTCACAGCACGTCCCCAGGTTCGGCGGCGAGAGCGGCGGGGAAGTGAGAAGGGGCGGGCCTTCTTAGAAGGCTCGGACGTCCCTCGGTCTTTTGAGAAGTTCCCTACAGTGGAGGCCCATGCCAAGAAACACCCTGCTTGCCTCCAGGGTGCCCTGGGTTTCTTGGGTTTCGATGGTTTTGCCACGGAACGCGAGACGTTCCCACACCAAAATTCAATGGACGTCCTGGGGTCTCAGGGTTGGGTCTCTTCTGGACGGTTTCTTGTGGTCGGGCCCCCACTGTATGCCTGCCCTGAAGGACACAGAACACCTCTCATGAGGCCGCAGGCCCTCTGAGCAGCCCCGCCGCCTTCTGCCCCCCCCTCCCCCCCTTGCTCGCCGCCGAGCCGTGGGGCCCCCGATCAGACCTTGAGTACGGTGGAAGCAACATGAGCTCAGAGGGAGCAAAAGAGGTACCCATACCTCTACCGTTCGTGGGCCCCTACCCCCTGAGGATGTCTCCCAAAGCCCTCCCACCCCCTAACATCAAGAGCACGAGTCAGGAGTAAGGATGGTGGCAAGGAGCGGTTTTTCTAGAGTACCAGTGGCTCAGGCCCAGGCAGTCCACCGCCCTCCCGCCCTCGAGCTTTAGGGCTGCAGAGGGACAGGCCGTCAACGCAGCGGCACGTGCTACGAGAATCCCCGCTTGCTGAATGCACCTCGACTTAGATGCTGCACCACGCTGCCTGTGCTACGCTGCTGCGTGCACGCTCCTCCACGGAGCCCTGCTTCGTGATCCTGCAAGCGGCGCGGTGGCCACTCTTTTGACCCAACGGCCGGCTAATCTTTGAGATGCTTTGCAGCCAACGTGTCGATCAGTCCGGCCTCGCGGCCTGCGTAGCCCCTCACAATGTCCGCGGCCGTGGATGCCGAGGCAGGCTCACACTCGAACAGTGTGGCATGGTCTCACGCCGCGCACTGGTCAAACGTGGGCGTCTGGAGTGGCAGGTTCGGGTCTGCTGCAGGACGCTGGTCCTCCGAATCGCCATCATCGCGAGTCGGCACGGCCTCCTCCTGGCGAGGGCGCTCTGCGGGCGGCGGCGGAGGAACGACGCCTTCGATGGCTGCAGGGGCCGACGGCGCCGGGGCCGACGACGCGCTGCCCGGAGTGCCCGTCTAGGGCCGCCGCTTCTTTGTGGACTGCGCTGGCTTGGGTGGCGGGCCTGGCAGGAATGCCGCCACGTAGTTAGCGGTTCATCCTCGTCGCCATCCACTCCGCGCTCTCCTCCCAGCGGCTCCAGATTCGAAGCTTCCCACGTTGCGTAGGATACCACGTAGCCGTGGTGCTGGCGTCATACTGTACGAGAAGGGACTTCCCGCTCGTCGGGATCACGGGTCTCTGGTTGATGCCGGCATGCAGCAACATGCTGTTGAAGGCCATCAGGTTGTTGGCCATGTCTTCGCTGTTGTCCACAAGCCACGAACGCACATCGGAGAAGCCCTCGGCCTCGCTCTGCTCGTCGACACGGCGATGCGAGCTCTGGACAGGCATTCTGTGAGGACAGCTGACCCGTTGAGATCGGTGCTCGCATTGGCGTTCCAAGCCCACGAAACAGCAAGATCAACGTGGCGAATCTTCCGCAGATCCGCCTCCCCCTATGGCAAGCAGATTCGCTGCCGAATTGTCTCCCTCCAGCTCGTGCTCCCCTTCCACCTGGATTCCAACACTCCCTAACACCTCCTTCAACAAGTTCCTACATCCTACCCAAACCCTCCTTGCCCAAGAGAGCCCGTTGATTTCGGACTCTGTAGGACACCGGCGCGGCCGTATGTCTTTGAGTACGACAACATGTGGTCGCTAAGAATTTCAGTTCGACAGCGCGAATGGACAAACCTTGCCGCGCGCACTCGCTTAGCAGGTTCGCATCAGCTTGCCTTTGAATGACAACAGGGCCTGTGAGAGGTGGGATCGGTAGTTCCAGGTGCCGAGACACCGTCGTTGAAAGGTACGCGAGCAGTTTGCCTGCGATCTCAAGGTATCGTTTCCGCGGGGCTGCTTGCCCTTTGGCCAAAATTGCGACAGCGGCCGCCACATCGTGTCTGGTGTGCAACGCGAGGTGCGCCAAGGAACCCAGCTTGCTCCTGAGGTTGCCGTGGTCCGCTGCGCTCAGAGGAGGGTTTCCGGCTTCGTCGGCCGTCAACTGGGCTTGCTTGAAGTGGTCTTCTCAGGTTGATCGTGCCGTCCACATTGTTTTCGTCACCCAGAGTGGTCAGATCGATAACGTACGTGATTACAAACACCGGGTTTCCCTTGACAGTGCCTGTGATGATGCAGTGTGTGTGTGTGTGTGCTGGGAAGAGTTGAAGTCGTGACGTTTGAGGAATGCAAGTAACGTGGCTTCGAAAAGGTGGTTTCAGGAAAGTGCGCTTGTTCCCAACTTGGGAAAACTCCTGGTCTGTTAGAAAGCAAGCCTGCGACATAGAGAGAAGTGCTGTTGACCAACCCATCTAGGGGCCAATGACAAGCCACTCGTCGGCTCCTACCACAGCGGCGCGGTTGAACGCAGGTGGAACGCGTTGGAAATTGCCATATGCAGCTGGGCGCGCTTTATAGCGTCCATTCTCCTTGATTAAAAGCAACAACAACGCTGGAAACATATCGTCGGTTTTGGTGACGTCTACAGCCGGTTTCGTTGCCAATGCGCCTTCGTCCAGCAGACACCCTAGTTCTGAACCGATTGCTTCGCGTCGCATTAGCGTTCCAGGTGACTGCAGTGCCTGTTTTGGCGGGGCTTGGACCGCGAAAGCTTTTGCCCCCGTGGATTCCTCGAGGTCGTTCCCCTCCCTACGCACTTCGCCTACAGAAGGGGCGCGAGCGCCCTTTCCAGTTCCTCCGGCAAACGCTTTCCGCCGAACATGGCCTGGCGCGCGACCGTGCGCCCCGGGGCGCGTGCGCGGCGCCTCTAGCCGGCTTTGCCGGACTTGGCGGGGCAAGCTGGGCATTTGTGATCGTCCGTTGCTACGAACGCCCCTTGGCAGACCGCAGCCGATTCGAGATGCTCGAACGGAGGGTGTTAAAGAGACGCCGACTCGGAAACTTACATCACTGTTTCCCCTCCTGCACATCCCTCTGACCCCTCGCGTCCTCCCGTTCGCCCCCCAGACTCCTTTGGGCCCTCCCCTCCCGAGACTGGAACGGCAGACTCGCCATCCAAAAGGGTTAACTTCTGCAAACTTCGTATGTGACCTTCAAATTTCCTGTGGCGCGGGAGAACGCTTTGCTGTCCGTTGGGCGAAACGCTGCGTGCGAGCAAGCCATTTTGATGGGAAGCGCGCGTGTCCGGATCCCTGGACGTGATGCGAATGCGAGTGCCTCCAGTTGTGGAGAGATCGTGCCTTGCGTGCGTGCGTTGCCAGGATCACCTTCGGACGAAGTGCGTTCTTGGCCAAGACCTCTTGGGGGCGCAGCGTGGCCGAGGTGGCCAGAAGGAACCCGACCAGCAACGTTGGCGCGAGGATGTGCTCCGATGCTCGTATTTCTGTTCGCGCGCCACGTGCGAGCAGCGCGGTGCTAGTATTTCGGCAGCGCGTGTGATTGCGAGGGCGCTGAAATCCCGCTGTGCAAGTATCGCCGCTGATTTTCCGCAGGAGCGTTTATGTAAGTATTCCTGGATTTCGGGAGATTTCAGGATCGGCTCCCCTGGTCGCTATGGATAGTAAGCTTTTTGTTTATATCGCCCCGCTCTGTGCGCGTGTTGTGTATGCAGTGAGGTGCTGAATTTGAATTTGCTTAGTACTGCGCGCGTGAAGAGTCGCAGCGCCATCGCTACGCTGGAAGACCAACGTCCACTTTGCACCATTCGAGGTAATTTGCGAAGGCCCGCAAACGTCCATCGTCTAGTAGACGTCCTCCTCACCTACACCCGCCGGTTTCGTGGACAAGCTGCGTTTGAAGCCGGCGCTTCGCTTGCTCGCTTTCGCGCAGCGAGTGCATGTTGGGTCGTGCTTTGGTAGGAGGTCTTGCACGTTGAAACCCGCGGTTTTGGACTGAAGCGTAGGCCCTGCTGGGGGGGGGGGGTGTCCAGGGAGGGCGAGTTTGCCCGCCTTGCCTGGTGGCCCCGCGTTGCTGCTAGATCCGCCCTCCGCCCCCGTCTTTAGGGCAGACTCGTTTGCGGGCGGCCTTTTCCTGCCCCAGATGCGCGCGGCTGCCCGCGCGGGCGCGTCTCCCCGCGCCTTCTGGATTGCGGCAGGGGCCAGCTCTATGCTGGTGAGCTCTCCGCCCGCTTTGGGCGCAGATGCTGCTTATCCTGCCCGTCTTCCTTCTTCTCCTCTTTGCGTTCGTTTTCCCCCTCCCCATTGAAGCGTTCCTCCTTCGTGGGCGTTGGTTGAGTTCGCCAGCTGGGCCCGCTCGCGCGTGATCGTCTGCGGGGTGATGTCGGCGACCTGCCCCTCCTGCTCAGAATGAGTTGCGCAATTTTAACCCCTTCTTCGGGGCCCCAGGACGCGCTGCAGTTCGCTTCGTTTGCCGCTGCGCCTGTGGAGCACAAAGGAGGGCCGTCCGTGATCGCGTCGCCGCTCGGCGCCTGGAATGAGTGCTTCTTTTTGCCCATCGCCAACTCGACGCAGCGCCGGCGCCGCTGTCCAAAGTTCAGCGACCACCTGCGGGCAGACCCCTCGCCGCCGCAATCGGGGCATGCATTCGCTTGGAGACAATCTGCATTGCTCCTTTGGCCAAGGCCCCGTTGCCACCCGACTTGGATGCTTCTGCAGGAGCGACAGCGGCAGTGCCGCCTTTGGGCATGCCCGTGATACGCTGCGCCGTGTTTCTCTTGCGCTTTTTGCACTTTTGTGGTTTTGGTTGTTTGGCTATTGTCCGCTGCGTTTATCTTCTCGGAAGGTTGCGCAGTGGAGTGGCGCCCCTGCAGTGACGGTTGGTTTTCCAACGTGCTGCGGGGGCCGCTGCGGCACTTTGCGGCTTTCGCTGTTCGCCAGGTTTTCGCCAGGTCCACGCCGAGTTTTTCTGGCTTTCGCTGTTCGCCAGGTCTACGCCCCTCTACAGGACAGTTTGCTGACGCGTGGCCCCGTTGACCTCGCTTGCAGCATCTTCCTGGCGGCGGGCCCCCATGCTTCGCGGCCTGGCGCAATTGCGAGCGGGCGTGAAGATCCAGCGCGGCCTTCCGGCGGCCTTGCCGGCGCCCTTGGCCGCAAGCGCCGGGTGCAGCTCGGACGTCGTCGTCCTCATGCTCTTTTGGCGGGCGCGCTGAGCAGCTCCTCAGGCGGCCCGCTTGCGGCCGGTCAAGTATTCGAGGTATTTATGAAACAGGACAGCATCGTCCTGGCCGAGTGGAGTCCACGCCGCGTTGGCGCACCAACGGCGCCCGGTCCAAGGCGAACTTCTGGTTCGCGTCAAAAGCGGACGCCATCTTGTTCGCAGCTGTCACCATGATGCCATAGTTTGGCATTGCGATGCCAAGACGACCCAGGTAGGACACCAGCAAGCGCCATTGCTCTAGACGCACTTCCACGTCCTTGCCCGGCCGCGGCTGCGGGGCAACCGCGTGATGGACCGCGGCAGCTCTGCGCGTTCAGTGTGCGAGCCGCGATGCGCCTTTGTCAGCAGCAACGCATGCAGGTGGTCTGCTGTCATGCTGGTGCCTCTGCCGTCGCTGATTGCTGTCGCGCGCAATCGGGGCCAGAAGTATTCATCTTTCACAGGTTGTTGCTGGGTTTTCGATCGCAGACAGTTAGTTGAATTATTACACGGCCTTGTCTTCGTTTCGCTGCCTGCTGCCTCCTTGGAACGCGTGAACCAAGCGAGCGCGGCCATCGCGAGATGCTGCTGGGCTCCTCGAGAACGACGCGCGCGCTGTAGATGCATTTTCACTTACTGATGGAAAGCGACGTGATGCGCGATGCATCGGCCTTTCGTGAGGTTCGAGCGGCCCCCGAGCAGACATTGGGGCCACATGTGCCTAGATAGCCGCGGCTTGATCCCGTTCAATCAGCGCGTATTTCAAGGCTGCCCGGCAATGTCGACGGGAATCTTCATGCCCAAACGAACATGTGCACCGTTAGTCTTCGCAGGCTTCAGGCGCAGGACTGCTCCCGCCGCGCTGCAGATCTGCGCGCGCGCTCAAGCCAGGACGCGGCGCTGCGTCGATCGGCCCGCCGCCTCAGGGCGCGCGCGGCGTCCGCCCTTGGAACCCCCGCCAGGCCGGATGAGTGAAATGAGAGATTCTGTTGCTTTGGGTGGGCCCAAACCGCAAAATTTTTCATTTCGCCGGTCGCGGGTCTTGCGGATCGCCTGTCCAGGGCGGATGCGAGTGGTTCTTTGCGTGCTTCTGCAGGGGGGCTCGCTCTAGGGCGTATCGGGCGTCTCTTGGGGCCCGTCGCGCTCTTCTCGGGGTTCTACTGGCTCTCCCGAGGCCCCCGTGGAGCTACTGGGCCCGCTTGCGTCGATGTGGAAGCTCGTGGGGACGTCTCGGCGACGGATTGGGGACCTGTGTTTCACCGGACGCCCAGGGTCGTTTCTCGGCGCGTTCAGGCCGACGTGGAACCCCCCTGCAATCCCCGGCTGCCCAGAGAGCGCCTGGCGCCTGAAGGGTTTCTTGCAGGCGGCGGGTCCAATTGTCGTGCGACGCCGTGTTGGGCGCTCCTTCAAGTCGCATGCTCGGTCGATTCGCACAGTTGGCGTCGCGTCGCGAATATGTCGGCCTCATCGCGATCAGCGATCAGTTGGGCATGAGGGCCAGTAAATCAAAATCCACAGGCCGACCAGCGAAAGATAATCGTTTCTGGCCCCATACGCAAGCCCTGTGGCAGGGCAGCCAACGCTAGAGGCGGGAACCTGGATTCGAGAGGTAACCGATCGATTGGAATCGGTCTTGCGGCGTGCAAGGACAGCACGACCGAGAAGCAACTCAGCGCGGCAAGTTTTGATCCAGCGCATGAACCAGCGTTGCTTGTCATGGGAGTTTTCTATCATGGTCAGCTGGGGACATTGCTGCCGCGTTGGGCCCAGACTCCGTCATCCAGTCGATGATGCTGGTGAGCCGATCGGCCGCTGCTGTGGCCGCGAGAGTTTCCCGTCACCCTGGGGAGCTCTCTGAGATCGCCACCCTTGATGGCAATCGTGTTTGCGACTGTGGTTGCAGACGCTGCGTTCCGAGCGGCTCGCTCGGCCCCTTGCTGTGCTACGAGCTCCTGGTGCCTAAGCTGTATTTCGGCTGCTCGCCGAAACATGGCGTGAGTGTCCTGGTTGTGGTCTGTGCTGCCCCTCGCTTGTTCTAGCCGTTGGTTTGCGGCTTTCTCTGTTTCTTCGAGCCGCTGGTTTACGGTTTTTTCCTTTGCAAATTCTGTTGCTAGCAGCTATGGGACGGCTGTTGCCGATTGCAATTGCATGCTTTGCTGTGCCATTTTGGCGCGTGGCGTTTCCAGGTTTGCGTCGCGAGACAGCATGCGAGGGGGTTTGGGGAAAGGAAGGGCCATCGATGCGTCTTGCATCGCTCGGTGTCGCGATTCTTCCGCGGCTAGCTCGCCACGAAGTGCCACCACCTGACATTCCATTTCACTGCACCCCGCGCGCTCGTGTTTTTTTTGGCTAGCTCGCCATGGGGTGTCACCAACTGACTTGCCATTTCGCTGCACATTGCGCGCGCTTGTTCTGCAAGGAGGCTCTCTGTTGTCGCAAGTTGGCTTTCGGCTTGCCCCCGCTGTGCCAACTCACTCACTCTCCCAGGGTCGGGGTTCCACAACCCAGACAAGGCCAACACGAACCTACCTTGTTCCGAGATGAAAGAACGACCCCTGCTGGTCCGGATTTCGGCCAACAGTTCCTCCGCGCTCTCCGCCCTCATGTTCAAAGCCTGTGCCTCTTGCCTTACAGCTACCTCCACTTCCCCACGCAACCCTGCCGAGTCGGCGACGTCAGCGTTGGGCTCATGACCCGTTCGGGGGCTCCTTCTCCCTAACATGTCTCTCGGCTTTTTTCCACCCTTTAACATAGCAGCAACACGAATCAAGAGTGAGGGTGGCGACGAGCAGTGGCTTTTACAGTATCAGTGGCTCAGGCCAAGGCAGTTCACCGCCCTCCCGCCCTCGAGCTTTATGGCCGCGGAGGGGCAGACCGGCACAGCAGCGGCACGTGGTACGCGATTTCCTGCTTGATGAATGCACCTCAGCATCCATGCTACACCACGCTGCCTATGCTACACTGCTGCTTGCACGTCTACCCTTCCCTTGTTTTCCCCTTTTCGGGCCTCCTGGGCTGCTCTCGTGGCCACCGACGGATTCGCTGCGAAATCCTGGTGAGAAACACCCCAGGACAAGTTCCTGGGAGTAGCGCTATTGGTACCTTTCGGGTGTCTTCAGGTGCTCCACCTCAGTCAGCAGGAGGGCGTCGCCATCCGCAACAACGTCCTCATCGTCTTGGGGGACCCGCCGCGCCCTGGGAGGTCGGGCTGGAGCGGAGGGGGTGCCCGCGAGGCGCCGCGTCGTGCTGTGGGGGCCGCCCGCGCGCCCGGTCGGCGCGTCGGGGCGTGCCTGTGCCGCAAAAGTGCGCACAGGCTTTTTTTTCCCGTCGGCGGCGAGGCAGAGGCCGTCCGTTGCAGCACGTTGCCCTTCGGGGCAGCCGAAAGGCAAATTGACCGGCGTGCGGGAGGGAAGAGAAACACGAGGGCGGCCGCGCGGGGAGAGGGGGAGGGGCAAACGCCCAGGCGTGGAAGAGTTCCGCGTAGAGCAGGCCCGTGCGGCCAGTCGGGGCAGCGGGTAACCCTCCAATGTATTGGTATTGGGCCTCAGGAGAGGTTGGCGGTGTATACGTCATCACTGCGAACCACCGAGTTTATACACCGCCGTCCTCCTTGAAAGTACGTGCAAGATTCGTCGGAGGGTTTCTGCATACATATTTTCGTGGCGTAGTGCCATCGTCTGGCGGCTCGCACACTTTCAGCGCCGTGCCACTCCAGAGCCTTAGTCGCCCTGAGGGCGGCCCTCCAGCCTACCCAATCGAGCGATCGTACGGTGCCCCCAGTGAAAGAATGCAGGTAGAAGCCCCAGTGAAACGGTCACAGATGGGGTTGCCGAGGGCCGTTATCTGTGACCTTGACATTGTCCCAGAGAAGCAGTAAAGTAACTGATGACGTTGTCGAGGGACGTTATCTGTGATCTTGGTATTGCCTTTTTGCCACGGTATAGCGTGCACGAGACTCGAGCGAGATTGCAGCAGTCAGATGGGTCTTCTGTATTCGTTTGGGCTCAAGACCTGGAGCAAACTTCATCCTGACTGTGGAGCCGTACTGGCGTCAGCGATGTCCAACGTCTTTTGCCTTGCCAGTACCAACATGGAATGCGATCATGACCATATTTTGTTTGCTCATCCTATTGAGCTCGGTGCCAGCTGCCAGAAGTCAGGATTCTACTCTAGTAGCGGAGCTTCGGCTCCCAAGGACTTCGGGGACGAGCCCAAGTACGGCGTTGACCAGGACTATTTCTTCAGCGAGTTCGAGTGCTACAGAGTTGCTATGCACGACGGGGACCTCCAGGGACAGAGGCATGTACTACAGTTTCGAGAAGAGCGTGGCCACGGCGACCAACGGACTTTGCAGGAGGTGCGGCCAGATGGAGATCGAGATCTCGGTGGTGCCTGTGGTCGAGCAGACCACAGTTCAGAAGAAAGACCATGCGAGCATCGACGATGCAGTGGCAAGGCTTGAGGGGGTGCGTTCGCGAGCAGCTGCGGGCAAGCAGGTGGCCGCGAATTTGGATATGCCCATCTCAGTGCTCGGCTTGATCTTCCTGGAACCGCTCAGATTTCTTCGTGCGGAGTGGCCCGTCGTTCTGCAAGCCACGGGAGACACTTGCCAGTGACAGGCGACCAACTGACGGTGGTGATGAACATGGTGCGGCGACACAGCCACATCGCGGAGCACACGCACGGCGGACCGCGCGATGTGTGCGAGGGCCTTCGGGGCGGACGAGGAGGCCGCCACGACATCGACGGCGGTGATGAAGGTTACTGGTACGGCGGATGCCACCCAGCGAACAAGAGGGGCGCTGCGGGTGTATACATGGCGGCCCAGACTTCTGGCAATTCCACCTACGCGGCCGGCGCGGAAAACTCGTCGAGGGCACCACCCTAACAAAGCTACGTGACTGACGAACACGGCTGGTGCTCGTGCGCCACGTGTGGCTCGTACCTCTACGACGGTTATGTGGGCATGGACGACAGCGACGCAGGCAAGGAGCACGTGGACACCAGCCAGATGAGCGAGCAGGAATTGGAGCAGTATTTCGAGACCGCGCCAACCTTGGCCACGATTCGGTGCGTGAGGACTACATGTTCATGAAGCGCCGCGCCCGCCACATCGCCAACCGAGGATCGCGACAAACGAGGTTCCCGCGGGTCAATGACTCCCTGAGGACGTGCATGGGTAACTGCAAGGACATGGGCAAGGGCAAAGGCAACGCGGTCGTGAGCACTTCCCTTGCTGGCGGCAAAAGGTTCCATGACAGTCGGCTGAGGCGGGGGCAAGCACGGCAGTTTCCTGTCTGGCGCGCCCCGCTCCATGAACCCGCGTGGCGCCGATGGCAACATCATGAAGTTCCGCCAGCGCGAGAGCGAGAGGCACCTCGTTGCAGCTTCCCCGGAGCGGGCAGCTCTCGACCGCGGCAAGAAGGGCGGCCGCAAGGGTCAGCATTTCGTCCCCTCCACGGGCGAGGAGGTCAATCTGACGGTGGCGTACTTGGGGGCCGCGGTGGAGGTCACGCCCCCGCGGGTATGGCGACGTCCTCGCGCTGGCGCCCTCGCGGGCGCGAGCTGGTTCGTCGGGTCGAGCGCCGTGCAGTTGGAGGAGCTTGACAACGACTCGCCGACGGTCGCCTGGCAGACGCTGCTCACGCGCGGCGAGGCCGAGAAGGGCTTGGCGGCCGCGCCCCTGGCGTGAGCTACAGCGCCCTCAGATTCGGCCGCGGCGACTGCCCCGAAGCAGCTGGCGGCTGCGACGACGCCGAAACCGTCGACGTCGAACGCCAGCTAGCTGGTTCCCCTGCTGGCGCATTGAGCAGCTTGAGGCCGCGGTGACAACGGCCGAGGACTCCTGCGCGGTCATTGCCCACATGGAGACAGGGTGGCGACCCTGGAAGCCCTGGCAACCTCGCCCGCGACAAGTGGGTCGAAGCGTGACCGAATTCCCTTGGCGACATGGCCATGCTGGGCCACGGGATGTAATATTCTCGACAGCGTGCTGTCGTTGGGCTTCGCCGGGGCTGGGTGCCACTGGGCCGAGGCCGCGCGCGGGCGCGAGCTGGCGATGCAGGCCGGCCGGCCGGCCGCCTGCGATGCCTCGGTGCCTCCCAACTCCAGCGCCCCCGCGCGGTCGGGGCGCTGCTCGCTGAAGGCTCGCTCATGCCTGTTGGACTGCGTCATTCAACGTGCAGTCTTGCAGGGTCGGCTCGCGCGGGCGCGCGCTGCGGCGTTCGCGGAGGTCGCCGCGTTCCATCTAGAGGAGAGCCACGCGGGGCACCTCATGCTGCGCCGCGACCGCTTCGAGGAGGCCCCAGGCAGTCCTGCGACGACAGCGCCCGCAATTACCCTCGCCGCGTCACCAGGGGGCGCGAGGCCGAGCGCGGGCAGGAGGGCGCCCGGCAGCGCGCGCGCGGCAACAGCCCGCCCTGCAGGGTCGAGCGCCCGCGTCGCTGAACCGCTCAAGTACGCCTCGCGATCCGAGACGGCGGGGTCGCGCGACGTAAAAAGAGATCGCCGACGGCGCGGGTGTTCGGCGATCGCAGGCGCCGTGCGACAGCGAGCGCTGAACGGGCGCGGCTGTGTTTGCAGCGTCCCGCGCTTGCGAGGTTTCCGGACTGGGGGATCGGTCAGGGAGATGCGGCCAGCGCAATGGCCAGACCCGGTTTGGGCGGCCCTGTCGCGACCTGCCTCTGGGCGAGGCCGCTGGGGCGACGGGCGAGCCCAGAAGTTCGAGGTCAGGGTGGCTCGAGCACGAGCCACAGCGCATCGGCGCATCATTCTCGAGTCAGTCGCGCAGTCGACGGCCTGGCGCGGCATCGAGATGCCCCATCTGACTCGCGAGCAGACGTGGTGCGACGGGGCCGTTCGTTGGCGCGACTTGGGAGCGACTGGCGGGCGCGGCAGACCCGCGGCAGCCGCCGCTCGTGAGCGACCGGGGGTTCGACGACGCGGGCGCGGGCGTTCGCCGCGGAAATCCCGCGGTGCGCCGCGTCATTCGCCGACGAGCCGCTGATGGTCTTGACCTTCCCGGGCGAGGGGCGCCGGCTTTGGTCGCGAGGCTGGCGGGCTCGCAGGTCCGCGAGCGCGGCCCCGGAGCCGACGTCCGGGGCCTATGAGGGCCAGGCAGACGTTGCCGAGTCCCGGCCCAAGACGGGATCGGGGCAGCCACGGCGACCACGCCGAGTCATTGATGCGGGCGAGGTGGGCGACTCTGGCTGCAAGGTGGAGTCGAACCCCTCCGGCCGCCCTTCGCAGCAGCGAGTGCGTGAGGGGAAGGGCGAGCAACAGGCCCCGGAAGAGTGGCGCGACGCAGGCCGCGCGCGGTGAATCGGCATACCGACGACTGCGGCAGCGACTTCAGCGTCCTGCTTGCACTCGGCGGCCGCGCGCGCGACAGCGAGCGCCGCGGCCCCGAGCTGGGCGAGCGGGGCGCCCTCGGATTGACCGTTCCACATGGTCTCGGTGTACTTCGGCATGAGGGCCTTCGAGTAGGCGATGGGCATTGGCGCCGAGCAGAACAACATTTTCGACCGTGGCGCCAGCTCGATGGCCACCATGCAGCATTATTGCAACGGCCACGCGGCCATGCAGCGCCGCCGATCCTGGGACTCGGCCCTCGACGGACATGGGAGGGAGAGGGCTGGCCATGGGCCCCGAGAGGGTGGTATTCTGACCCGGGGCTGCGCCCCGGGACCACCCCCGGACCCCGCCCCCGGGCCCCCCCCAGGACCCCTTTCCCCCCCGTCCGCGGGGAAGGGATCAAATGGAGGGGCTGCCCGTCGACTCTATGACGACATCGCTTCATTTCGCTGTGGATGGGCTGGCGCATTTCGCTGTGGCCGGCGTGCTTGAGGACGAGGGGCAAGGCAAGGGAGGGGGGGGGCGGCGACGGACTCGGGGGAAGGAGGGGGCGTGATGGCGGCGGCGACGCGACGGCGGCAGCGACGGCGATGGCGACAGAACAGTGGTAGGAGGAGTCGGCTTGCACGGGGGGGGCGGGCGCGGGGGGGGCGCCAACGACCGCGCCGATTCCATCGCGGCCCGCTGCCCCTTCCCGGGGCTCTCAGTAATCCCCCGGGCCCAGTCGGCCTCGCAGTCGGCGCCGGCGTCGCGTCGCCCGCGAGCGCCAGCCGGCGGGCGGGCCGACCTTGTTGCGCATGTCTGGCGCGAGAGACCCGCGCGGGCCTCG